GTATACAAAATATGGTCTTTTCACCCAACAACAGTAGATAAAGTTGACGCTGAAAATTTTAAGTAAAAACTGACGGGATAATCAGCACCAATAATCTATTTTTATATCTTATATGTTTTATCTATTTTCAGTTGATATAAACACAATTTTTAAAAAAATCTTTTGAAAGTCAATGGCCTGTGGTTAATATAATCCTAATTACCTGTAAAAAGAACATTTTGAGGCTGTTTTTGCAGACGAAAAGTTTAGGTTATTTGAAAAATATATTAAAGTTTACCAATTACGAAAAATCATCACATGTCCTGCTCCCATACTACTAGGTGACCATATGCTTGTTTGATGAAAAACAAGTTTATAACAATTACATTTATCAAGTGTCGGGGTTATCTATGCGAGGGAGTTATCTCTCCGACCAGTAAAGAAAAGATTAAAAGATGTTAATAACACAGATTTCTCCGACACATAAAATACAAGATATACATACCACTGCCGAATAATACAAGTGAAAGCATCAAAATGCATCTGCAATAAAAAAAAATAAAAAAATAAAAGAAAGAAAGAAAGAAAGAAAAAGTAAATGCATACAGGTATGTTGTAAAATTGAAAATAAAGTTTCAATGTGAAGTGAGATTAACAGACAAATATCAACACCTGAAAATCGGAACATATACTGATATAAAACCCTTGAATAAAAAAAACAAACTCAAAGTCTAAAAAGTAATTGCTTTATAAAGCAATTGTTGAAAAGATACAAAAATACAAAAAGATACCAGGAGAGGCAAATGATTGCATACATTTTTACAAAAACTATACTTAATTCTACGCCAGTACATCAAAGATAACTACACTAAAAAGAAACTGGTAATTTTAGACATCATAATTATTCCAGGCAAGTTATCTGTTATTAGGAGGCAAATTATCTTTTATAAGAACAATAAACATTAATGGTTTTTCACCTAAGTAAAAATATATATTAGTTGCTCTGCAGGGACGATATTTCGAGACTTAAAGCAGACAAAGGAGCAACTAAATTTAAAAGGTGGCATGAAGTATCATTTTGACTAGTTGAGTGATGACTTTGAATAATAGCATGCAAAAAATTTATCTGAAAATAACTAAAGTTCATTTACTTTTTTTTGTCACCTGAAACCATTTTGGGTCTATAAACCCTCAGAAAAAACACAAACACCTGTTAATGCAAGATCCACAATGACTTGAGACTGAAATTTGGTGTGGAGAAGATCGAAAGAAGGATAGTGTGTGATGAAAGTCACAAGAAATGTAAGCATATATAGAGATTGTCAATCTTGTAAAGCATGAACATTATCAGTCGGGTTAAATGATGGGAATGGAAAAAAACAACAATAACTTATGTTCTGGAAAGTTTGGAAAACAAAACTATTTGAAAAAAAGGATAACAAAAAACTCTGACTGAAATGTAACAACAAAGACAGATGCAAGGCTTATAAAAGGTACTGATTTTGGAAGCAAACAGTTACTTAGAGAAATACATGAAATAGATGTGTCGTCACATTTTTGATATACAAAAGCAGTACCTCGGTATCTGTGAGATAGGGAAAAGCGGAAGATGAAATTATTATTCACGGTGATTTCTCAGAAAATTATAGTTGCAATTATCCGTTCAGTTTTGGATTCTGTAAATCATGGCGGTGCAATTTGGACTCGTATAGATCCAGTTATGTTACACATCAACCGCGAGAGACAAGACTTTGTAAGAAAAGGCCCTATTACATCAGTTATAGGCCAGCAACAAGGTACCGAAACAAGTATTGAAGCTTAGGTACCAGGAAATCTGCTATCCATTCCAAATACGATGAACATTATACACATCTTTACATCTTTACAAGCACTAAACAATAAAACAAATTAAGTTTAAAAGCAAATATTATGTCACATTTATGTTCTGATTAATTTGTATCATATGTGTTTAAACAATGGCATATGTGTTAATATTATAGCTAGTGAAAGACGACGGCGGATTATTCTCATCACGGTATATATAGTTTGTCTGCAATTATCAAGCAAATGTGTTTAAATTGTGTGAATGTTTCCAACATACAAAATGCACAATTACAAAGAAGGAAACATTATTAAATTACAACATTCTATACAAATTTCTATAATAAAAGTTATCAAATTAAACTATGAATAATAAATCAAGGAATGTTTAGAAGATGCATGTACAATTCTTGCACATATATTATCGATAAATATATGAGTGAGCATACGTACATGAAAATATATTTTGTTGCATTTTTACATTTTAGCAAAACAATTCCGATGATCAACTTCGAAAACCATCAAGCATATAGTCTTCTTCTTGTCGTTTGCCCTTCTACAAAGTCATCCAAGCCAAAGCGATGAAATGTGCAATCTTCTGTTTGGCCTCCATGTTCCCGAAGAATTTCTCCGCCAGTGGGGTACTTGCTGGCCACACTTCTCTTCGCAGCTGGTCTAGATGTTGACACCTTTGTAATAAGTGTTCTGCCGTGGAACATATAGGCGATTTGGACAGCTTTAGCTTATCATGCATGTGTGCGGCTGACAAGCGCTACCTGTTCAGCTCTTCAGCACTTCAGCATATTGTGAACTTTATGATAACATTATACAATCTCAAACAGCAAAGGAAAATGCATTTTTCTTAAAGTAATATTAATATCGTTTCCTACGACAATTAGACCTTTGTGTTAATCACTGTAAAAGCAATACAAATCTCCATTTTGTACCGCTTTGCATCATAACTTGAAACAATTCTATAGTAATGCAACAACTAATTTCTTAACTACACTCTATGAGATATACGCGTAGTTTTTTTCAAAGCTTGCCTGCTTTTTATAGATGTAGCCCAATCTCAACATGAACACGTTACGTCCAATTGAAGTGCATTCTCTATGAGAAGTTTGTTAAATAAGTTCATATTTTTGAATGAACAAATGCTTCAAAAACACCACGAGATAATTAGAAAAAAAGGAAAACGTATCTCAAATGTATGTGTATAAAATCTTTCTGTGATATCAATATATTTACTTTTATTTAATATGATTTTATGAAAACTTCTGTCATGTATTACAAACAAAAATTCTTGATCGATTGTTATAAAATGACAATGAAACTTTTTAAATAGCTAAAATCCCTGCAAACGAAGTTGATTGTTTCTTTATCAATTCCGTTTATCATTACCAGTACGCACTATATCATTTCCGTTACGGCATTCTTTTTGCAATGTAACAATTCAAATGACTGAAAATATAGTTATGTACCTGTACATGCAAAGTAAAACGATAGTATGACCTCTGTGGATTATATTAAGGTTCTAAAGAGGAATTGAAATAAAACGTATAGTTCTATTTAGTTCAAATATTGCAGGGTCTTTCAAAAAGAAAGATACTGTATAATGGTAATACTACATTGTATTAATTCACAAACGTTATTTTTTAGAAAGTGATGAATCTTTGATAATCATTCTACACAGGCGATGTTATTACACGGAGATGAATTTTTGAATAGCAGACTCATTGGATAGCGGAAATGACTAATCTCTTATACTCATTAATTGTATATTTTGGTGAATACAAGAATGGAAATTGTTAGAAAAATTGAAATGTAACCAATCATGGTTGAATAAATTTCTCGTTTCAAACTTGATTGCTAAAATTAGACTGTAATATCGAGTGGTTCTTGACACATTCCATAAGGAAAGGAAAGATTGATTTTAATCAAACTGAAACACTCTAGTCTAACATTTTCTGGATCCTTACCTGTCAGGGGTCGCCGGTTTGATCTTCATGTAAGGCCTAATTTCCAGATTTTTCAATTCATCTTGGGCATTGAGTCTAATAAATGACTCTCACCGCTGTGGGATATGTAACCGGTCATTTGTGGAGAAATTGGTAGTTACTGGTTCGATATCCAAGAGAGCGGTTAGTTGTCCCGACTGTCGAGATATGACTAAACATGTGTCACAGTCGGTGTAAAAACAAGTTAAGCAAACAAACCGAGGTCCGGGGCTAATACAACTTTAACGGAAGTTCAGAAACATTTTAATTTCACTATCGTTGTTCTAAATGATTTGTTTTGTTTCAAACTCTGAAAATCATAATTCATTTAAAGATTTACTGTTAAGTTGTTTTAGGGATCATTCTGGTTTAACATTCAGACACAGATCGACCGGCGGTTGGGCTTAAGGGGCTGAACAAAATTAAAGCAATGGATTCAATTTACATGTTTGTATATAGATGATTACGCTTTCGAGCAGGACAATAGCTAGCTAATATTTTCAGACTAATACATGGTCGTTAATTTTTAAATATGTGGTTAATTTGTTCTTATTTTCTTAACAAATTTAAAAATAAAATAATAGAAAAAAGTTTTATTTTAAAAGAATATACCTAAAATTTTCACAAAATTTATTCTTTAAGTTTTTATACCCAAATAGTATAATTTTTATTTTTGCCCAATCTGGGGAAAGGGCCCCTACATAATGTTAATTTTTTTGGCCCCCAAACCCTTTTGTATGTACACTTGATTATGATTGTAAAATTATGAAATTGTACAATACGTTCAGCCTACTGATTTTGATTATCAGTAAATATATGAATACTATTTTATTCTAGATATAAGTTCAAGGATTGGGGCGTGGATAAGAGTAGATATATCTGGAGACTGTCGCATAAAAAAGATTTTGAGATAATTATAAACAAACAAACGTTACATAACGGAGTTTACACAAAATCTGACCTTCAATCCTTCTATGATTAATATATATTTATATTTTTTTTCAGTGCGCTTCTTTCTTTCTTTCTTAATGTTTTATTTTGCGTTTGATTTTAACGAATATCAAGGGGGCAAAGCTCCAAGAAATTTATTTCAGAATTGTCAGGGGTATGTCTGCTTACATGCCAAGGGACTAGTTACTAAAATGTAAGCTGGAAGGACTGGAGGACTCTCATATATGTAAAAACAATAACTCCACAGCTTTTATAACATTTTATGAAATGAATGTTTTATGAGCAGAAACACACAGCAATGCAAAGACTGTATGCTATTTACGTAAAAAATAAGTATTAAATATGATATGTAAATATATGTATTCACACATTCTTACATTTGTCATTTTATTGCATAATCTATACTTAGCCGTGCATATGTTTTGCGATATTATCGCAAAAATGGGGTTTGTGATGCAGATAATCATATGTTTATATGTTTTGAACACAACAATTCATCTTAAATTCCCATATCTGTCCTTGTATCCTGCCCCTTCAGGAAAACTTTGTAGTTTTAAAGGTCTCGTTCTTGCAAATGAATCATAATGAAACTCATCTATGATTTCACCATTGTTAATGATACGCTCAATGTAGGGCTTATCACTTTCTTTCACATATGATTTATCTATCCATCTATATGGACTTGGTTTCCATTCCCAAGGTTTCCTTATTGCTAATTTTTTATCTATTGAATGAGTTGTATGCCCGAAGCGATCCTCTGGAATATCTAAGCTTTCATCTGAATCAGATTCGTCCTCTTTATTGTCAGTTTCAGACTTCTTTTTCTGATTCTTTTTGCTACTTGTATTGTCTTTAGCTTCGTCTCTATCTTTACTTCCAACTTTAGTATTTTTCCAGCTCTCGCGAGGTTTAATATTGCACTTTGGTACGTATGGTTCTTGGCTCGATAAGTCTGTTCTTCTATATTCTTTACTGATTTTAGGCTTTCGCATACCCTCATGAAATGTCTTTTCATTTCTTAATTCCTTTTGATGAGTATTCTCTTCGTTTTTATATTTTTCGATTAAAATTAAATCGTCTTGAGTATTTACGTGAGTAATATTACTTCTTATACCAACATGATCCGAATGTTCTTTTCCATGCAGTTTTTCAGCGTGTGAAATCTGATTTTCATTGTCACATTCATCATCATCTTCATCATTTTGTTTCTTCATACTCCTCATCATCTTCATCATCATCGTCATCATCATCCACATCACCATTATTATCATTTTCTTCGTCATCGTCTTCGTTAAAATTGTCAATACACCCAAGACGAACTAGTCTACCGTCATTTTTCCCACGTCGAGATACTATGATTAGTTTTCGTTTGGATGAACCCATATCATTAATACTTGTCAACGACCGACGTAATGGAGGTATTCCGTTCTGACACCTGGTCAATCATTCGTCGATTGTAAGAATTTAAGGTTTTGAGGAAGCGAATGTTTGGTGTTTGCTGCGCAGATTTCAATCCAGGGTAACTAATATCAGGAAGTTTTTCTAAGGATCCATATTTTTGAATAGCTTCAAGAATTTTCGAATTATCAGGAAAGTGATCTATTTTTCTTTCATCAGTGTTAACATTACGTAACTGATTGAATAAATTGTTTTTGACGATTAAGCCTGATGAATACAGTCTTTGAATTCCTGGATTTGTTTTTTCTTCTTCTTTAGGCTCCTTAATTTGAAAAAGTTTACGCCGGTCTGCCTCTGTTTGACTTTCGCTCCGCTTCAAACCTGTAAAGTTTATTTTATGTTTTAAACGTTTACGAAATCTACTCGGTAATGATGATTGTTCGTTGGCAACACGTGATCGTGAGCTTTCTACCAGCCGGGTCTCATCTTCGGTTTGCTCATCGGAACCGGATGTCTCACACTTCCGGTCCTCATCTCCGATAGGAAGAGTAGGACGACCCTTCCCGATCACGCCACGATACCTTTGTTGAAAATTCCAGAGTTGTTCACGATGTCTCAATCCATCGTCACGTGGGTGATCAATTAGGTGCGTGCGCACATTTTTTAAGGAAACGCCTGTAACATCAACATCCATTCTTGGTGACACCAACGGAATTCTATGTGCAGATTTAACACCTTTAGGCGTCTGTAAGTCGGAATATACCCATTCGCTCTGTGTTCCCATTGTTTTTGTAAGTGCAAGTCTAGTCTACTATGAATTTCATTCATTCACTTAACATTTCTTTTCCTGAAAATAGAAAACACAAAAATCGTAAAAATGTCGCCAATGTTTCAGACTCTGTTTGACTACAGCGATGGTAAATGCAAGCTACCATCCATGCCAAGTTGTTGTATCAACAATAATACGGCTTTACACGATTTAAACCATGATCCTGAACAATGTGTTAGATATCCCTTTCCTGAATTTCTAGTTATCTATATCAATATCAAGGTAAGTCTCACTAAAGAATTAAAATAACCTTGTTCACAAAGTATTTTGTTCAGTGAATGATCCACAAATTGTATATTACCAATAATGAGTCTTAATTCTCTTTCAATAAACTACGAAACAGCTATCTCAAGGTTTCTATGTCCTAGAATAAGCACGCAAATGACCTTGGTATCTTGATGCTTAAGTTCTTGTTTGTATTCTAATTGAATTGTCTTCATTTTAATTAAAGAAAATCAGGTAATTTTCGTTTTTAATCAATGAATGTGAAATGTTGTTTATTACGTGACATAACAAAGAATCTTGACGCTGGTGGTATTTATTGAAATTTCCTCCCTCGATGTTATCATACTGTTTTATTTTATTGGGTAACATCTTACAACTTCACTAGGGAGAATTGGCAGATGTCCCAAAGAATGTCACGTATATTTTGATGTTTTAATAGGCCATTTTAAATAATCATTAAATAAAACATTGTTTTTTTGCTTTAAATTTGTTAGTAGGTAAAGATTTACAGAAGAAAAAAAATCAATGTTTAAAGCTAACTTCTAAAGTCGTATTTAATTAGCAGACGACCGAATGCAGTTATTTTGTAGTTTCACGGATGCATAGGGCGGCGCGAAGGTGTTGCCAACTAAGCAATATGACCCGTAATACAGGCTCATCTAAATGGTATTAATTTATTAAAACATGCGTTCAGTGCAGTTATGCGCCTATATAATATATTCCTTTCAATGTGAATGCAATTGTTTTTATGTTCGGAAGTTGAATCGGTTTAATGCCTAATGGATAGTTTATTGACACAAAAACAATAATTTGATTGAAGAACCACCTTGATTGTATCACTTTATTTCCTCAAATGAACGGAAGATGGAATGATGTTTTTAATAAAAGTAAGGAAATAGGTATTTGTATTAAAGGGAGATAATGACATATTTTTGAATTCTATTCTTAGACTTAATTTTGAAATAATAGCTCAGAATTAAAAAAAAACGTACTTGATATTTAAAACTGAATTACTGTCAATAAAGCACTAACTAAGTAACTTTTGACAACTTACATACAGTTTGTATGACGAAAAGTGACTGATATAAAACTAGTTTTGATTACTAAGTTTCTTTTTTTCTTCTGTATTTCACTTTCGTTATAGTCTTGTGCATATATTAGAATACAACATGAAAACTCTTGGAAATGGTACCGGTATTATACTGTGAAAGCTTGTGATATAAACAAAAGAAAAACATCATACGACGGAAACGGTGACAGTTAAAAAAAACCCAAGTAATTGGACATTAATTAATGCCATTAGAGATAATATTATGTTTAAAAGTTTTAATTGGCATTGGCCTGTGGATTGTTTTAAATATGAAGTTTTGTTTATAAAGTAAATATTCCGCATATTCTATTGATATCAATATTGCACATATCAACATTCTTGATTGCGTGGGTCATGCAATATTAACATTAATCCGTGTCATAAATATCGATATTGCATTTTTCAGCTTGCATATTTTTTGTACGTGCACTGTATGATACAAGTTCGGATTACAATTTTTGAATTTTATTTTTAAAACTCATGAAACATGTCTTATATTATGTAGATCTGTCTCAATTGTTTTTTATATTATAACTGTACATTAACATAAAACTAGTGCAAAAGTTGTCGTTACATTTATTTCTCATAGCTGTTCGGCTTTTTCCGTAATACGTCGATAAAGCTTCAACTAAAGGATAACTTGACCAATGTCGTAAACCCGTAGTCGCTCCCGCCTTTTTTCGACAGTCTCCGTAGTATCTATTTTTAGAACATTGTTTCGTCTGTTCTTATGTAACAATATGTTTCTGAACCATGTCCTTGCTTACTCGTGATAACTACAAAGTATTTTTCAAGATGAGTTGTAATTACGATAAGCGCATGCATGTTTTTTGATTAAAGATAATATAATTGACATACACCACTCTACCTTTAAGATAATAGTACTGTCATGTACATTGTATTTAGTATTTATTAACATTGCATTTAATGGAAGATATGTAAATGTTTTAAACCTTTCTTTTATGTTATGTAATATATTATAAAGTAAAAAATAAAAAAAAACTTACAAAGAAATTTAAGTTATTTTTATTCCATAAATATTTATGTAATCCATGTTCAAAACGAATCATAATTTCTTATCATTTTTTAAAACATCGCACGTGGTGGGTTTACAAGTGCTTTAAAAATTCATATACTGGAAAACACTTTCTTAAAACTGCACGTTAATTTCGTGATTTTGTAATTCCAACAATTATTCCGTGCTCATTTTGATAAAGATATATAGTTTATAAATAAAAGAAGAAACCTTTACAAAAAATTAAGTTTCTTGAATATTACAAACCGTCCACTGGTTCAGCATGGAAATCACGAAATTTAATCGCGCAGTAATATTCACGCTTTACGGCACAAAGTTCGCAGGTTGATACAGTAGCCGGATTAATATTGAATGTATTTTTGGTATATTTTTTTTCTGAATGACTTTATGAAAGAGGATCATGTTTTAACATCTATCTATTTGCCTTTAATACATCTTAATATCGTACGCTGGTGATAAGGATGAATTTTATTCATATACAAACATGTTAAAAGATGACACTACGTGTAGATTTAACACTATGCTAGGTGTTAATCTTTAGTGTAAAATCAGGTATTGCTAACATTTTTGTTTTGTATTGAACCGAGTATCGGTTCAATATCTTTTTAAGATACTTCTTGTCATTTTAGTGAATAGTTGTTTCTTTCTTATTTTTGACTTAACTGTATTTATATTGAATATGATTTAATTGTAATTAATAGTATTCCCAATTACAACAATTTATATCATTTTTTACAAGAGAAGTCACACAAGGAAGTAAAATTACATTTTAATTTAAAGTAAGGTGTGTTAAAAAGTTGTACAATTTGATAAGTTAGGCCATCATTGAAATGACAGAACGAGACTCTTAACATTGTATGGTAGCTGTATATTAAACTACCTATGTCACTAGTCATTCGTGTCCCTAGTCAGTCCAGCCTATGCATGCGCGTAATCTGCTCCTAGTATAAAAACATCAACCACCATCGAATCTGCTTTCTGGAACTAAGCAGTACTGGTATCATATGAGGAATTATATAAGGAATTATATGAGGACTTATGGTAGTGACCTAGTAGGACTCGAACCCGGTAGGAGGCAGACACCTTAATTCCATATTATACTCTTTTCTGCATCATCTTATTATTACAATGATTTCAAATTTGTTTGATGATGACATTTGCTTTTAAATCACGACGACGCTGGGTTCGAACCCATAGCGGTGAGGTGCAGGTGATTCAAAGCCAATGCCTTAACCACTCGGCCACGTATAGGCTTCTAGCTGCATTTAAATAACAAAATGACAGTTTCAAATTACAAGAGGGCTTGCTAGGGTTACTTTACTGTTAAATGTAATATTTTAAATGACCTCTGTACGCCTTAAAATCAATATATATTTAACATATCAAACACTCATCTACATTGTGACTTAATGACAAATTGAGTTAGAAGTACACTGTCACATACGTACCAAGGGGTTAAATTACTCTAAAGTAGAAAGTATGTACTAGCCAGTGATATTCTCCATTCAAATATTTGAAAAGGAGATTGAAAGGAAATTTTGCATACACTTATTAATATAGTCATTGTATTATAGTCGAGGAGACTCAGTTAAAGTTAAAGGAGAAAAAAAAGATATTTATTCTTCATTTATATCAGTTAGCGTCCGAAAGTAGAACTTTATGAGAACATGAGCAACAGTTATTAACCTGACACTATGCTGTCTTGGTCAGCTATTCATATAAGCGTGCAATTTAGCTAACCATGGTTGTTGCTAAAGCCTTAAGCAATTACCATCACGTTTTAAAAAAATAGTGGTATCCAAATTTTAAATAAATTTAATCTTAAATACGCCTTTTTATGTGCCATATCACAGTATCTTCAAAACTATCATATTTTTCTTGTATAGTTTATTAGGTAATGTACTTGCTTTTGACAACTTCTATCCACTGATAGTCATTCAGGCGTTGTGTTTACGTATTTTTCAAGATTGCATACAAAAGTTCGCTAGCGACCTACCTTTTGTTTTTCGGGATCCGCCTTTTGTTTTAGCGTATACGATTTCTGTTTTTCAATAACTAATTTGCAAACAAACCAATTAACCCATGTCTGTTGATTAGTAATTGGCAGTATCGGATTACAGCGTCAACATTTGTTGTCGGACTGTCAGTTTCAAGATTTGGAAAAAGATCTCTTATTCTAAATGGCTCTTTATGTATATCAGATTTCTCATTACGGTTATCAGGTCATACATATTGTTAAGTGAAAAATGATTAAAAAACGGAATAATTTGTCATTAGGAACGACGAACAAGATTGTCACGCAAAACAACAAAGATCGAATTTCAATTGCAAAATGATATAAATAAAATCATGTTCTTCATATGTTAGTTATTGTGATCTTTAATAAAACAAAACTTAATTGTTTTAGTCACCTATTTTGTGGTGACTTCACTCATATAAAATCCCTTGTATCAAACCAATAGTTAAAGGTAATAATGTTTATTTGTTGCGTATTATGATTTGGTATTTGTATGTTTATCATTTGAGCGCATAGGAGCGCATGGAATGGTCAAAGAATCTCAGATCAAAATCATTTGTTTATGTATACTTGACAACGTATATCAAAACTTTATATTCAATACATACATAAAGAATTAATGATTTGGGAAAAGACACAAATCTCTCAAT